AGTATAAATAAAAATGTAAGCAACAATATCTCATACAATTTTTTGTATATAGTTAGAGGTTTTTTTTGAAAATATATTCATTGGAACAAAGTATTGTAAATCAATGTGTATGTTCATTTAAAATGAATATTCATTGCAGTATGATTACAATGTTCAAAATCATAGAAACATAAGCAGTAATTAATGTTTCTTGATTTCAATGCATGATACTGTAGTGTTCAACTCGAGCCAAACCACAAAAATTTGATTCATATTGGACACTATTGTACTGTCATACAGAAGCTATTTGAAAAAAAGATTCTAAAGAATTCATGAATACTATCTTATTCAAATTAGATGATTTAATCACTTGATAAGAGTCAAGCAATAAATCATATTTGATTATAAAGTAATGATCTGATTGATAAATGACATATAACTAAGTTATGAAGCTCTTCTTATTCAAAGTAGTATAAATAATTAAAGTTACAATTCCAACTAGAAACTAGTTCAGGGGTCGCAGCGGCATGTGTTCCAAAATCAGGAAAGCAGACAGGAAATTTTTTTAAAAAAATCAGGAATTTTTATAAAAATCAGGATTATAAACTTTATTCTAATATTGCTTTTTTGGAGGTCAAATTTGCGTCAAAGTGGGTGCCAAAATCATGACTAGTTACAATTAAAATGTAGGTTGCTGCAGTAAACACTGAACATGAAAAACGCAGGTAATGCACAGACGTTTTTTCAAATTCAGGAACGTATATCTCGACAACCAATGAAGCTAGAGAGTTGAAATTTTTCCCAAATATGTATTCGACGAAATTCTACTTCTGATAAAAATTTCAATTTTTTATCTTTATGCAATTGTGTTTTACACAAAAAATATTGATCGGTAACGCACAGACAAAAAAGTCCCTCGTTTTATTAGTGCATATAAGAGAAGTGAAAATACGACAAGATACTCTGAGTTAATGAATTAGGAGAGAAATGGTTTTGTAGCTAACAGTCAGGGCTACCTTTTGGTTAAAAGAAAACGTCGATGCGTTGAAAAATGAGCGAGTTATAGACAAAATACCAAGTAACGCACAGACACTTTTCTGCGAAAGACAAAGTTTTAGCCGATTGTATTGGTCTGGAACATCAAAATAATGATGTTGATTCATATTTTGACTGTCACGAGTGTTGTTATGTTAGAAATGTTTTCAAATTTGTTTAAGCCAAAAGAGTGCTCGAATTATTGAAGCAGAAAAAAGAGCTCTTTGGGGGCATTTTCCTATGAAAACTGTAGATTTTGGATGGCAACTATAATTTCTTATCTAGATGTTGAACGGAAAACGATGTAGATCGACGCAGGATGTATGAAAACCTAAGTAAAAACTTTGAATGAGTAAGATCACTTGTTTTGCATCGGAGAATTTGGGTCGTCAACTTTAGCCACACTGGTTGACCGTTAGCCGTTTTTGCTGTGAAGCTGGTTAAAACAGAATGAATTATGCAGGAACTTATTGTTTTATTCAGATACACACACTTTTCGTCCTGTACTGTTTATTTCTTTTCGTTCTCTTTCATTGCCATGCTTTTATTCTAATTTGTTATTCTCTCTCCATGTATAAAATAAACAATCATGTTATAGCGATTCAATTTTGAGCAAATGTGGAAATCTCGGATTCAAATCCGAGTGTTATGTGTACTTCAAAAAGTAAAAGTAATTGACGACAGATTGATTGTGATCAAACTGTCTAAAAAAAAATCATCCTTGAGCGCACTAAGAAACTGCCCCTTCGGCCCTGCCGATGCCCTCTTTTTGTCCCGTAGGACGCGGCGAGGAGTTAGTTCCGAAGCCTTTATTTATTTGCATCAATAAAAACTTGTTTATTTTAATTAATTATTTTGATGAGTTTATGGAACCTTCCTTCATTTTATAAACTCATATTCATTATATCATGTTTGGGTATAAATTGTTGACGATTATTTAGAAAGGGTAAGAGAGGATCATAATGATTGCCAGTGAAATGAATTCATAAACTCAATTTGTTCATTTCTGATTTGTTTCCAATATATTTAAGATGGCCACCTGTGGTTTCTTTATCAAACCGATCAATCAATTTTTTCTTAATCTTTTATATACCGTTTTGTAGCCCGTGAAATTCTCTATCGAATGGTATATAATAGTTGAGCTTTTGTTTTGATTATGAGAGAAAAAGTTTTTATATGAAAGCCGGGATAGGTCAATGTTCGCATAGAAAAAGCACAAGAATTAATGACATTTTTTGCGATAACTCGGCAATTTCTAGACAGATCACTCTTATCTTCGAACTCGACCAAGACATTGATGAGACGATTCTATGACAAAAGTTTCTTGACAATCAGTTAATGTTCTCAAGGGTTATCGTAGAAACGGGCGGACGGACGGACAGACAAACTGACCAATTCTATAGTGTACTCACTTTTTGAGTACACAGAAAACAGAAAAAATGAATGATTAAAGTGAACATTAATTTATATATTGTATCTTTTTTTGTTCAAGATATTCCATAATATTTTTTTATGCATTTTGATAATAAACTAATTAAAATAAAAATACAACATGCCATGATCAAATAAATATGTCCCTATCGGGATGGATCATGAAAAATCAGGAGAAAATCAGGATTTTCAGTCAAAAACAGGAAAAACAGGACATTTTTAAAAAATCAGGAAAAAAACAGGAAAGTAGTACGGCTGCGAGGCCTGCTAGTTGGCTAGAATTTATTAAAAATATCTCATTATTATGATGAATTGATAATAGTCTTGTTTAGAACGAAAATTAATAATTATCATCTCTGATGTACATTATATATATGATATTAAACTTTCGAAATCAGTTCTGAATGAAGTGAATGTTAGTGTTTTATTAATTATTATAATAAAAATCATAAACAATTCCAATAAATCTAGCGATCTAATTATTTTAAAGTTTTCAACGAAGTCTATATAACTATGTTTTATATACAAAATTTTCACAGCATTTCTAACTATCCTTGACACAAATATCTTTTCGTTCTAATGAAAACTGATTTCTCCAAGAAACAATCATTTGACATGATAGATATCACACAGCATAAATTCATTATCATGTTCAATTTTCCGTTTGTGATAGAAAATATGATAGAATCTTTGAAGACCATACTTTCAATGAATACATTTTTGCCATATAAGACTTGACCATAGAAATATTATTAGAAAAATCCTCCAAATAAAAATATCAAGAAATCATATTTAGGAATTGAAATTTTTCTAAATAAAATATCATCAGAAATGATTGAGATATTGAAAGAATTTAGAGTTTTGAAAAGTTCTGCATTTCGAAAATGCTTCAATAATAATTTATTTTTATGCAATAAAAAACCATCATCTAATATCTTCAATTATGAACTTGATTATCTTACTATGATAACAATGGCGCAAATTTAATTTGTATGAATCATCAAACTTTCAGATTTCGAAAATGACATCATTCATTAAATGTATGCGCTTCATTTCGTCTATGCTATTTTTATGTAGAGACGATAAAACAATGAGTCAGTTCCATTAATGACTAAAGACAAGAAACAATGTTTTCTCTGTTAACAAAAGAATTCATCTTATCTTCTCTCTCACTCTACTTCTCTATCTTCTTTTTATCTTGCATCAACACTTTGCAATATATATAAGAGGTATAAATTTATTTTATTTTTGTGTGTTACTCATAAGTTACTTTTTATATACAAAAACAAATTCGAAATGTTCAACAACTATCTTCTTCTTCTACTCATCAGTCTAGTAGTCACCATATGTGTACCAACAATAAATGCTTATGGTTTTTGTACATGTTCCTGTTGTGATGGTTCAGGTTGTGATCCATTATTCGAAGGTAGCATCGAAATTTCATCTTGTGATGGTACTTCTTGTCTGGAAGCTTGCAAGAAAAGTTTTCCATTATCCTGTGATAGTCCAACTACAGGTAAACTCAAATATGATTGCAAGGATATAAGAGTTATTAATGAAACAACAACACCAACAACTCTTCCTTCAACACCATGGCCGGTTCCTACAACTACAACTATTACGACTCCATCAATATTGACAACAACTACATCTTCTACAACTGCAACTACTGGAAATATAACCGTTACAATTACTACAACTTCAACAGAAACTACATCAATTGGAAACATAACTGTCACAATTAGTACTACAACAACTCCAGGAAGTACTAATAGTACCCGTCAAACGTCACCACAAACAACACTTACAACTACAATAACACCACTTCCAACAACAATATCTACAACAGCAGAACCTCCAAAAACGACTACTAAAAGTCATAGTGGTGCTTCTGTTCTGTGTGAAAGTTCATCATTTATTGTTTTAATTGTTACATCCATTTTTATTGTTAAATTTATGCATTAAATCAATCAATTAATCAAGTTGTTTGTTTTCTAGTAGATTCTTTTTCTTTAATGCGGAAAAAAATATTATTTTTTTTTTTTTTTATCTTTAAATAAATATGTGAATATTATTTTTCTTCTACTGCGCAATAATATAAAGTAAAGAAAGAAAAGAAAAATTATTTTAAAATGTTCTTATCATTAATATGAAGCATTGATATCTATATCAACAAACTATTTATATCAAATATTTTACTCATTGGTTTTATTCATTTCCAATATATATATCATGAACATAATCATTTTGTTTGATATCCAATTGTTTTTAAACAAAATCGTGAAGAACAAATGTAGTTAAAGTGAAAGTTTTGTTAAAAATACATGTTTATTCGATTGATATTGCCAATATTAATTAGTTTCAATGATTTACATAATATAAATCTTTATATTTTTCAATTATTGGATATAATCTAATTCATTAAGGTCATGTAATTGTAGACTAATGTGATGTACCAACACAAACAAAATGATTTTGAACTAACACTTAACAATTACATACACTTCTTAGATAGAGTTTAATATATTTTTTATTAATATTATTTATTCATCTTTCTAAAGATTTTTCATTATCAGATTATATTTTGTTGCAATAAATAATTTGTTACATGTTATATTTGGTATTTTCATTTGATAATGCCACATAAATGATGTACCATCATAAAAAATAAATGATGGATGTGAATATAATGAACCATGTGCATTATGATTATAAGGAAATTTGAAAAACGATACTTTTAATGGTTTTTCAATAAGTAACAAACATATTGTTTGAACATTTGCATCACCAATACGATAACGATAAAATGCATTTATTGATATTAATTGTTTTAAATATTTTTCTATAATTGAATTTTCATAAATTAAATTAAGACGAATAATAAAAAAATTATTATAAATAGCTAAACCATCATAACCATAAGGTCCATTTAAATTTGTACATAAACTTTGTATACAACTACGTCGAGTTTGATTTTTTGGTAAAAATTCTTCAAGATTTTTTTGAAGAAAATCTAAACCATTATTATCATGATATATGATTCTATATGCATAATCAAGTTGATTTTTATGAAATTCTTCAAATAAATCATATTGAGTAAAATTAATTAAATAAGAATCATCATCAAATCTCATAACATAATCACATTGACTTTTTAAATAATTATATTTAAACCAAATATCATATGACCAAAATTGACACATTGATGCATAACCAGAACGATTTGATGGAATTATTACATTAAAATAAATTTCATAAAATTTTATTTTCAATTTTGATGAACAATATAATATTTGTTCTTTAGTTTCATATGTTAATGTTGATTCATGAAATAAATATATTGTATAATAATCAATATTTTTAAAATATAAACGAAGAGAATTAAGCATATTTAATAATTTATTTAAACTAACAAGATTATCACTTCGTATTAATGTTACAATACATCCTCGATAGGATTGTTTATTAAATATTACTAAAGATTTTTCATTAGTATGATTAAATAATATCATATAATAAAAAGAGATCAATAAAATAGAAAACAAACAAATGGTTAGGAATAAACGGTTTTGTCGAGTCATACGTTTCTTTTTTCTTTTTTTTTACTATGAATAGAAAAGTAAAATGATTTTGTGTAAATAAAAAATTTAAATTCTTTGCTGCTTTCGATCGTTAGACATTTGCTTGTTTCTAAGCAATGTATTTTACTCTTGAAGGTAAATAAACCATTTTTATTTTTAAATAATCTTTTGTCAAGATATACAAATAAATTACAGAGTGGACTATCAATGGTACCAAAATAAAAATGCCTGTCAGTGCGATCTTATGTGAGAAATCAAAGTGTGTAATTCATCAACTCTCTAACTGTTATAATCCTATAGTATATTGTTGGAGGAGTGAAAATAATTAATTTGAAAAAAAAAAAATGCTAAATAAATGAATAAAATCAAATTTGTATCGTTGATGCGCGTACTCTAAAAGTTTATTATTTTGAAAATGTTTGTATTTAGAATTAATTACTATGCTACCAATTGATAAGAATCATTTAAATTCGTTATACTAAGGACAACTTATTTATATTGCTGGACACATCTTCAATACATAACATATTTTCTCCTTATGATAATATATATAATAGATGTCATAGAAAGTGGCAAAGATAATTTTATTGTTCGTTCCGTCAGATCAACTGTCATATTAGCATGTGATACATGTTGCTTTGATCCTTCAATAAATTTTCGAACACACCATCCCTTCTCTTGACAAACTTTGACATATACTTGTGAGTTTTGCCTAAATGAAACATTCAACTAATTCATACTGTTTCATGTCCGTCCTGCTCTGACTCTGCTAGATCAGTAATACCACCACCCTACTGATTGATACCTACAATAAAATCCTTTCACTACGTTGAATACCAAAAATCTACAATATTTAAACTAATTAGAATCTTCAATAGAAATCTTAGATTCATAGAACGATGTAGTATATGTGTATGAGAGGATATCTACACTCGCATTGACATCTAAATGATTGATAGAAAAAAAACAGAATGATTTAATTTTTCGGATCCTTTATTCTTGAAATATCGTAATTTTACCAAGTTTTTCAATGAAAAGTTTTGGTCCTTCTCAAGTCACATGAGAGTTTTGATTTTATACTATGCACGAATAAAGTTCTTAGTGAGACTAATTGATTGTGTAAGTTATAGTTTTCCTTATATTTTTCTTGTTGTAAATGTAAGTATATGAACATGATTTGCTTTCACACATGAGAACATTTCGAATATCAGTTACGAATTTTCCAATGAACTAGTCTCATAGAAAAGTTTATTTATGAAAAATTTGAAGTCACAAACTCTCACGTGATCTGAATGTGATCAAAACTTTTCATTGGAAAATTCAATTAAGTTTTGATACTTCAAGAATGAAGATTCAGACAACCAAACCATTCTAGAATTTTTTTATTATCGACTAATACTCATCAAAAAAACATTGTTTCAGTCGAAAAGCTATTTAATAACTGAAGAAATTCTCTTAAGAATTAAAGATATCATTTAATTTCGACTTCTCTTGTTGATAAAGTTTTATGTTTTGGTCATGCACATCAGAGATGAAACTGATCCGTTGAAAATTTAAAAGTTTCGTCACATATCTCTGATAAGATAATAAGATTAAAAGAATAAATATGGCAGGTCGATAAAAATTGATTTACTGGCAGGTTCTATCTTTACCGTACATGTCTAATTTAGATTATCTTGTATGACAACAAGAATTAATCATCTCAAAATAATATTTACAAAAATAATCAAAAAATTGTATGCACATGTAAATCAAATAACTACACTTCATTGAATATGAAGGTTAGTCTTTTATAAAAATTATTTCTACATCAAAAACTTTGTCATAATACTTAAATCTGTTTAAACTTAAAACAATCAATTAATCTATTTGTCTTTCTTTTATAGTTCAAAAAATCAAATTGAATGTATCTTGTTTTTTTTCATGTAACAAAAAAGAAAACAACATTCTCCACCGGTCAAGTAAATGAAATAAATATAAATGAGAAAAATTGAAAAAGAAAAGAAAACAAAAGAAAAGTTTTGTATTATTATTAACAAGTAACAATAGATATCTATATTTATATATATAAATATATTGTTTTTCACTATATCAATGTCCTTTGAGTCCTTTACTTCTTTCATTATCTAAATTTATTTTCGATTCATTTAAATTCATACGTCCATTATTTAAATAATAATAATTATTATTATTATCATCATCATCATTATTATCCGAATGATTTTCTATATTAACTTCATCCATTTCCATTGATGTTGGTAATATTCTATATAATTGTTTTCGTTGCCATTGTTTACTTGTATATAGAATAAACATAAATAAAATAAGTAATAAACATGAACCAATAAATAAATAAAATACATATGATAAAACAACATGTTTTATTGTATAAAATAAAAATGATGGTAATATAATTTCACTTATTGTTATTGTTATTAATATAAAATGTATAAGTGAATCATTTAAACTTAAATCACGTTCAATCCAAAATAGTATTAATGTTGGTAATGATGCTATTAATAATCCAATAAAAAAAAATATAAAATAAAACATACGTATGGATGGTATAGATGATTTTGTTGTTGAATTATCTTGAAATAAATGTGAAAAACTTAATGTTGAACATATTAATAATAATAATATTAAACGTATAAGTATACAAAATTTAATTGATATTAAATGAAATTTATCTGATTGTTTTTTTGTTCGATTTGTTATACGTGTATTAAATAAAAAACAACCATAATTCATTAATATATCAATTAAACGTCCTAATATAAGACCAAATATAAATAAAAATTGTATTAATAAACATTGATATGATTGAAATTTTAAAGCACTACCAAATATATATGTTAAATAAATACATGAACTTTCAATACCAGTCATTATAAAATAAAATATTATAAGAAGTAAAACAAATTTAAGTGAAGAACGATCTGATAATAATGATATTGAACTAGTTGAATTATTTGTTATTCGATGAGAATTACCAAATAATAATGATAATGGATTTAAATTTAATGATTTTTTTGAAGATGTATTTATACCTTCACCACGCATAGCTAATGTTGAATAACATATACCAAGAAGAAAAAATAGAAATGCAATAGATAAATAAATTAAATGAATTAATGTAATTGAATTAAAAAATGTATGAATTTTTACAAAAAAAAGATTTTTTGAATCATCATCTTTATCTGATTCAGCCATTGAAGGTTTATTACGATAAGTTGTTGTTGATGTTAAAATTGTTGTACTTGTATTTGTTATTGAAGCTAAAAGAAAATAATATTCATTCAAGTGTTTTTCTTTTTAAATAAGTGATCTTTTAAAGGACGACTGAATTTAAATTATTGAATATTTATTGATAATCATCAAATTAATTATAAAAAAAAAAGAAAAATCTATTAGTACAGATGACTTTAACTAATTTGTAAAAACACAATTTAAAAGGAGTGTTGATGAAATTTGTGATCCCTATATAGGCATCTAAGTGGACATTGGACTAAATATGACAATCTTGCTTTCTCAGATAGACATTGTTGATATATGATCAACGAGTATATATCAATAAACTCGTGTAATAATAAATTATAATTAGTAAACTTTAACATTGGTTGTTTCTATCTCATTACAAGTGAACAAAGTGTAGTCATAAAAATGAGTTTGGTTTAATGAAGAGTTTTTCTTCTTACAGTATTGATTTAAATCTTTGAATATTATATCAAGAACAAATATCTCTGAAAGTAGTTCTATAGTTAAGATACTGTCGAGATTTGAATCTAATACTCTCTAAAATAAAAATCAACTATTTGTAATAGATGATCTATGATTAATTGCATTTTTTTCTCAGAACATTCATAAAACTTTAATTTTATTAGATGTTCTTACGAGGGTATTGTTCGAGCTATAACTCATTGTTTGAGCCCACAAGAAAGTCACCGTAAGATTAGAAAAGACTTAAAAGAGTTCATGTTCTTGTACTTTTGAAGCCGAATTACAGTAGATTTACTAAATTTTCGAGGTTTAATTTCGATCACAAATAAATCGAATGATTAGTAGAATATTCTGAGAGTTTCAACTGAAAAGAATGCTTCTTTATTAAAATATTGAATTTCTAAATAAACTCGATTTTTGCATCAAGTGACTATTTGTTAGAAATTCAATACTTCGACAAACGAACATTCTTTTCACTCGAAACTTTCCGAATATTCTAAGATTCACTAAATCTATCAATGGATTGAAATTTCAGTTGAAACACTACTATTTGAATTTTCATTAGATACCAAGAAATAGGTTCGAAAATTTAGTAAAACAGTCATAACTCAGTTTCAGAGGTTCATAGGTATGAATTCTTTTATGATTTTTCTATTCTTACAAATATCTCATTGTAAGTTCAATGCGAACTCAAACAGCAAATTACAGTTCTGGTAATTTTCTTGTTAGTGTATGACTAAAAATCAAAAAAGATGATTAGATCTTTATAGCATACCTATTGTTGTTGTGATCATTGTTGTTGTGACTGCTGTAGTAGTTGTTGTTATTGTTGTTGTTGTTGGAGTTGTGGGAGTTGTTGGAGTGGTTGGAGTTGATGTTGTTAAGGTAGTTACACTCGTCGAAGGTACAATCGTGGTATTTGTTATAGGTTCATTAATTGTAGTAGTTGATGAAATGGTAGTCATTCCTGTTGTAGTTGTTGATATAATTGTAGTTGCTGTTGTAGAACTGCTTGCCTTAATAGCAGCATTAATTAATTGAATTGTACAATCGAATTTTTGATCATTGGTACAAATATGATCGATTAGACACGAAATATTTGTTTTATCAAGTAAACATGTTTGTGATGTTGAATTTTTACAGAATGATATAATATTTTTACAATCATTTGACGGATTTTGATCGGTTTCTTGACAAGAAAATGTATTATTATTATTATTATTATTATTTGTTGTTTCATTTTGCTTTGTATTATTATAATCATAACAACAAAATAATTTATTACACGATGGTTTTACAGTTGCTTGACCTGTTTCAAGCATTGGTTTAGCAACATTTGATTGTTTCAACATATTAGTTTCAACTACAGATGGTTTTAATATAACTTTTGCTGGTGTACTTGTTTTTATCAACGATAATTCGCTGGTTGTATATGTAGAATTCGATAGATTTAGTGTATCGGTCATATTAAATAACATATCTTCATTAGTTTGTGGTGATAATGAAGCAAGACGATTAGCTATTTCATCTCTGACTTCTCGACGTGGACGATAAGATTCTTAAAAAGAACATTAGAAATTTTTAATATTAATAAATAAAAAAAAAACAAAAAAAAACAAAATGATATACGCGTCGTAGCTGTTGTTGATGAAATTTCATTTGTATTTGAAATATTCGATTGGAAAAGCATTGATGTTGAAATAATAGCACCACAAGCAACTAATAAATGTAACCATCGAATAGACGTTAATGATGATCGCGTCCATATACGATTATAAAGTGCATCGATACCTATAATCAATAAATTGATTCTTGTTTTTTTTTTTTTTGAAATATTCAAATAATTTTTCTTTTACCATTATAAGATATACCAAGACCAATGCCGAGAATAAGTGAAGCTAAATAAAATGTAGCTAAATCAGTTATAAGTGGAAGAGAACAAACACCAAAACTAATTGCTAAACATGATAAACCAAGTAAACAACATACATTAAACCTATTGAAATAGAACGAAAGAAAAAAAAGAACAATCGATCTCGAATTTAAAATGAAAAATAAACACTATTACCAAGCATAAAGGTAAACACTTAAAAAACTTCCAATAAGAAATCCAATTGCTTTCATAGCAATAAGCCATATAACTGCTGATAAGTCAGCTTGCATACGTTGTGAAAGAAATGTAAATGTTGGTCCCAATAAACCCGTAAACATACCCTTTATTAAAAAAAATAAATAAATACCATGGTAATAGTCAAAAAAAATAACATCAACATTATTTTTTTATTTTTCCTATGATATTAAACATTTAACGTAAATCTAAATATTAGTTTGAATAGTTAATGCAGTTCTTTATCAAATGCATTCCGTATCGAAATTTCATTGATCAACTATGAGAAAGATTAGTTTTTACAAGTACGAAATCCTGATTAAAATGAGGAGTTGCCATATTTGCTACACTTTATAAAAATTGTTTTGTTTCCGAATCTAAAAAAGTTTTTCATGTAGATGAAAAATTGGAATCTTTTTTTTTGGTTTTGTAAGATCTATGGAATGAAGAATGTTTTCCGAGTTTTGTACAACTGAAAATTCTTTCAACTTCAGATCCATACAAAGAACCTTTTTTTAGGCTTCGCAATAAAACTATTTTTATTGACATTGTACGATTTTTAACTGAAAAATTATAAGTTTCACAAAGCGAAATCTATCATAGTATTACCGGAAAACGAATTTTTTTGTTTTTTGTGATGCTTATAACTTTTTAACGAAAAATCGTATGACATGTGGGAATTCCTCATTTTATTCAAGACTTCATACTCTTAAAAACTTATTATTTCATTGTCTTCTGGATCTTGAAAACTATTATGTTTACTTTTTCAGAAACCTTCTTTTCATAGATCAACTTTAAAATTTCAATAAGGAATGTATGTGATAGAGAACTTCATTGACTATTGAAGTCACTATTTGAATTCGAATTAAATGCTTAGTATCATAGAAAAAAGAATTAAAAATATATTGGTATTATAAATTTGACAAATATTGTAGAGAATGACATACAATTGATATACAAGTTACTGCTAGAAGAATTATTTGTGCTCGTGATAATTTAATAGGATCATCATATACTTTAATATTAAATCGATTAACACCTAATAGTATTGGACCAGAATTACTTAATGAACTGGAATTATTTGGTTGATGAATTAATGTTCGTCGATCAAGGATTACTTCCTCTTCATCATTATCGACATCTTCATGCATCTATAGCATATGTAGAGAGTGAAATATGAGAAAAAAAGAAAAATGATTGTACTCACCATTTTTAATGAAGGGATTAGTTAAAATGAAAACAGAAAAAAATGATTAAGCTACAATTGTTTTATCGATGTGTTGGCTTTACACGATGCCAAATTGCGTTAATTTTGATTCATCGTGCAATATGACCAGTGAAAAGAAACATTTTTCGATTGGTGATTTCTTTCGTTTTGTTTTGTTTTTTTTGCATTTTCAATAGAGATCGCTAGATAACGTTTTTTTTCCTTTCCGTATAGACCTTATTTCAACTTTGAATATATTTTCAAAAGAAAACTTAGCAGGAAGATTTCTAGTATCATTGATATTTCACTTGTCCAATAATCTTGAATAACAATGAACAGAAATAGAATTTGTCAGTCAAGTACATCATTATAAATACTATTTCCTCTCTTGAAAAAATAGAATTAATATTATGAATATTGTAGACTAACGAAGAAATCTTTCAGGTATTTCCTTTCAATTTTAATGATTTTTCATCTATAGATACTGTTCAATACTCTACTAAAAAACGTTAAAGAATTTTGATTCCTATCATTTCCTTCAAAAACTTATGAACATTTTAATTTTATCTCTATAGTGCATAACATACAGTGTGAGCCGTAAATACCACGACGATAAACAATGAAATATTTCCGCATTGATGCCATGTCATGAACTGATTTTTTGAATACTGGTATAAATCTATTGAATATATGGATAAAGTAATCAAATATTACTATTTAAATATTGTTGATGATATATCATGATAGCAATTTTACTTGTTATGAACTATTAAAAAAAATACATGTTTAGCGTTTCAACGATGACTTTTAAGTTATCATCTAAGAGAGTAAGAAGAATAAGTGGAAAACGAACTTGATGAATGATTCTGTATGCATGTAAAGCAAGCAAAAATAATTAGTTTAAAAGTTAAAGGTTACAAAATATCGAAGTTTCAAATATAAAATACAGATTTTATCAAGAAAGTTGGTATTTTGATACCCAAATGACTGCAATTATGTGTTTTATTTATAGAACATGACCTGCAATGCTAAAATTGACTAGTTTTGAAAATTTCTTTTATGTGTACATTAATATAAGATAATTAATAAAGTTCATTTTCGACTTGTGCTTCTTACTCTCTTAAGTTACAACTGAAAATTATCTTTGAAACGGTAAACATGTATTTTCTTTTATAGTTAATAACAGGTACAACTGCTTTCATGATATACTACCTATTACAATTAATGGTAATATTCGCTTATCTTATTCATATGAAAAAACTTTCAATAGACTTCTACCAATTACCAAAAAAAAAAAATCATTTCATTGGATTGAATCAATGCAGAGATATTTTATTTATTATCGTCATGCTAGTTACGGCTCACACTGTATACTATCCACTCTATGTAGAAATAAAATTAAAATGTTCATTAGCTTTAAAGAAAGTGATAGGAATTTGAAATTTTTTAAGGATATTTTAGTAGAGTATTGAAAAGTATCCTAGACAAAATTTTATTGAAATCGAAGTGGAACAACTGAAAATTTTTCTTCACAAGTTGTACTTTGATATAAATGTATTGTCTTCTATGATACTTTTGCAGCGATATATTGAACAATTTAATTATTTATCTATTTAAATAGAAAATATTTTTATTGAGAATTTTTTTTGAAAACAATCTGTCAATCATAGTAAAAGTAAGATTTTTAATCGTTAGATTATCGTGTAATTTATTAAAATAAGACAAGTAGAATACATGAAAAAGAAAATGTCTTTTCATAGGTAATGTTAATGCGTATATAGATTTTCTTTTTATTATTTTCCTTCAATTAGTTGGTGCTATTGTTGTACCATATGAACCGCCAAGCCAAAAGGCAACTACAAGTGATGCTACATAACATAGAAAATGAGCAACAACCATTAGTTTATATGAGTATCCAGTTCCTGCATCTAAATATGCTGCAAATGAAGCCAATGTGAAGATAGTTCCAAGAAATAAGACTATCAAAGATAAAATTCGAATGGTTTTTGGTAAAATTCGAATAATTAATAAGAGAAGAACAACAATAGCAGCCATTAATAAGATAAAAGCAACAATAGAAAGACCAGCTGATGGTGTTGAACAACCCGAACAAAATAAACCATATTTGAGTACCCATCCTGGAGTTGCTAATGATATAATGCAAAATAATGCTGATATTGCTGTAATTATCGTTGCGATAATAAGCAGAATCGTTTCGCTGATTTGCATGATTTTAGCTCGCTTTTTTTTTCTTTTACTTTTACACACTATCGGTAAAAAGCCAATTCAATGAATATAATAATTGTAATAAGTTATTTTTCTATAAGAAAAAGAAGAAAAAAGAAGCCAACAAAAAATAGTAACATCGTTCTGTCGATAAATGACTGACATGGAAACAGGCTAAGATAAAACGTGCAAAAATTGTTGTTACTATGCCAATGAAAAAGGAAACTTTTTTTTCACCATTTCATATATGGTTTTTTACAGGTTATTGTTGTCATCAACTAGACGTTACATAGGCAACGCATATACATTATTCATCATACGACCTAATGAACAGAGGAAATTGTCTCATGAAAATTGTTTTTTCTTATTTCACTCACTATTGTGTGAAAGAGTAAAAAGGAAGAAAAGATAGATCAAGAAAAGGAAAACGTCGTTTTTCATTTTTGTTATCAAGTAATAGTGCCTTTCAAACACTTCTAAAGTAATAATCAAAGTAATGCATAACAATAATTGAAAAAGTAACAGATTTCATTTATTTACCTCAATTTAGTTCGTCGCCTTAGATAATGTTAAAAAGTAAAATGATTCTGTCTATTCGACTTTTTTTTTCTAAGTAATAACAAACAAACTAATTATATATCGTTTTCTATTTATTGATTATTCTGTGAACATAAGACATCGACTCCCTTTAATAGTATAGATTTAAATATGTCTCTAGAAATAGCTTTACGATGCTTTCAAATAAAATATTTTATGTCTTCTATTAAATGTCAATAAACATATTCACTTAAAATTCATGGATATTATTCTGAAAAGTATCGATCGGTCATAAAGTGTATAAAAACTCAAATGACATTTACTTTTTACTTTTGAGAATGAAAAAAAATTCTAAATTCTTTGATTTCTAATGAACATAGTTTTGTGAAACTCACATTGTCAAGTATGATTATAAGTTGATATCGAAAATTTCCCGCTGTTCTCCTCTAGAATTCCTTGCAAATCATTCTTTGTAGTGATGAATAGGCGCGTGATAGAAATCAGTTGCTATATTGATCATTGTATAATAAAGAAACAAAGATTTAATTAACACTTAAAAAGCATTTTGCCATCACATCAAGCTTTACATCAGAATGTTGTCATATAGTTGAAATTAACACATTTTGTTCTTAATTTCATTCAGTTCTTTTCATAAAACAAAAGTCATGAAAAATTTTTTAGATATCTGGGATGTTATCTAATGGAACTAGAGACTTGGCAACATGAGGTTGACTGCACAACGTTTCTTTTAATGTTTCACTTCTATTTCAGTTATTTTTCATCTATTTTTTTTTCAAGCCGCATCTCATTCAAAAGAACTCGTGACATTGAACGAAAGCGGTTCTTCGAGGTTTGCCATAAAAATTCAAGTTTCATTGATCGTAAATTTTTGATTGCGGACCATTTATCGAGACTTTGATGGTTGAATAGGAAAATTTAACATAGTACATCCTGTAGAAAAATTCTGCGCTCTAAAAATAGTCCCTATACAAAAAATTTGAAGAGAAAGTATTATGTTCAGCCGAGATTCGGGAAACAACGGAAGAAGACAGCATGTATAGATATAGGAAAAGTAGAAAACCTGATCACTTAAGGTCTCGCTAATCCTCAAGAATTGCAAATCAAATGAAATTTTCTGGATGTATTGGAGCAGTTGTAGTGCAGAAAGTATTGTAAAATTTTCAGTCTTATACCATGACGTTTTCATCAGATATTCAATAAATAAATTTTAAATATAGTTTATTTGACAAGTAAAAATTCTGTTTGAGTCGTCATTCTATGTATTTAATTTTTTGTTTGTTTAAAAGAATATGTCAAGCTGTCGAGCACGGCATACTGTTTTCTTTTGACCTATTACTTTTTAAGAGGAGAAAAGTTCAATGTCGAAAAAAATTGATGCTCCAATTATAAATGTACTCTTGTATATAAAAAATAATGAGACTTAATTCGGAAACGAAGCATTGTCATGTTCTGCATATTAACATGTTCTTGTAAACAAATAAAAAAAAGCAATTGAACACACTAAATAAACTTTCGAGATAATGGAATGTCCGATCATAAAACATAAACAGAGAAAAACATTCTTCGCATGATGTGAAAAAATGATATTTTTTAAGTAGATCACGACGCAAAATTTTTGAAAAAAGCAGCGAGGTGCTGAATAAAAAATTCATGTCATTTACGACATATGAAATCTCGGGTTCAATTTTCATAATTTTGACAATAATTGACTTCTTTCAAGAAGAGTCTCTATTATTAAACATACATGTTCAAATAAAGCTTATGTCATATTCAGTATCAATATTAAAAAATGAGTCACACAGCTTGGGTTTCATTAAAATTAATTTTCTGTCTAAGTTCATATCTGTTACTTCTCAACTTCCTTTTGTAAAAGTCTTGTTGGTGGCTCTCAGCAGATGAATTTATTGTCGGACAATGTTTTTTTTTACGAAACCCATGTTGTCTAACTCATTTTTAATACTGATACTGAATATGATACGAGTTTTATTTGAAACTGAATGCCTATTCGTTGAAAGATCGCGTTTCTCATTTTTCCTCTACATAGATATGTTATTTTTCTCCGCTGTTTCCTAAAAAAATTTTTTCACAACCTGAGTTTTATACAAGAAATTGAACAAGATTCAAGAAGTATTAATTACGGCCATGTAATGACCGTCCTCGATGGACCGGCGAACATTTTCTTAATATTTTTTATTTCATTTGCTCCAGTGTTCAAATTAATGCATAAAATATATATATCTTCAATTGATTATCTCTTGGTATATATGAAGTATGACTTGTTTCACATTTTAGTCGCTAGGAGATCATGCTGAATCTTTTTTTTATCTTGAAACAAAAAAACAACAGACTCTCCACATTAGCTCATGTTTAATTAATAATACATCTAATGTTTCTGTTTTACTGCTTGACGATGGACTTATTTTTATAATACATAGAGTAAAAAAATCCATGTTAACATAATATAATTTGAAAATTATTGATGATCATAATTCTTGCGAGTAGACTTGATTTAACGATACAATACTGTTCTCAGTAGTTCTATGTGTAAACGCAGTTAATATTGAATAGATCTGTTTTAGTATATTTCAGCTTTGCCGTCAAAGAGTTAAATAAATATTTGATACGTTACATATTTTTGTTTGTTAATAAATATTAACGTTTTCCTTAGAAATAATTTAATCATTTTTTTTTGATGAATAGATTATTTTATTTAATGATTGAATACGTAATCAAGACATTTTTAGATTTATTAAAAATATTATGGTTATTCTTAGACAATCATGGGTAATAAAACTATTGAAAATATCGGTTGAAATATATTTCTCATTAATAAACATCTTCTTCATATTAAGTTGTATTTTCTTGAAAGATTATAATAAAAATCTTGAGTTTTATTCTCTTATAATTGAATTGCTATATTTAAAATAATCTTGCAAACATAACATCAATTTAATCAAGAGATTAAAACTGTTCATAGACAAAAAAAAGAAGAGAATTGGATTTGAATATTTTATTGTTCATGTAACAATATACATATATGTATATGCATTGTAGTTGATGATAATTATATGAACTAATGTTTTTTTAATAAAGAAATACTTTTAATATATTGCATAGATTTTTTCATTAACTCAACTGCAAGCATGATCTTGGTATCATTCATAGTGATTTGTTACAGTACTCTAAAATCTAAATATCGATTCACTGCTGAATATATGAAATAGATTAAAATAATAGAAAACAATGAATTTTAAAGACAAGAAAAGACAAAATTTCCCAATGAATTTATTTATTTTATTTATTTTTTTTTTCGTTTTATTCAACATCACTATCCATTGATTCATTTTCATTATCAATTGAAACAATTTGATTATCATCATCATCATCATTTTTATTCGATGTTGAATTATTATGTTTTATTAAACATAATTTAAGACGTGGCATCAACCGAATACTACCATCCCAATTTCTAAACAAGAAAGTAAAAAAAAAATTTAGAATTCGAGTTTTTTCATTACAATCCCGAACAAAAACCTTTCGCCATATCGAATCTCAGTCATCATGAATTCAGAACCAATTTGACGAACTTTAGATAGAGATCTGAAACTTTGTGTGCACATGCTTCACCATCAATGTATGTCGATGAAGCTATCCAGATTCGGCTTGCTTTAGTAGACACTGAGTTATCATGAATGATGTCTATTATTACTTTGAGTCTCCAGGCGAAAGACGTTGTATGTCGGCAGCTCTATTCATTAGCTAGCACTATGTTTCAGTTATTTATCATACAGGTTTGATAAAGACTCGTCAACCTCTCGAAGATTTTTGATTATTTTAGTCTCACCATTGATGTACAAGAAAAACCATCAATTACTCTTTCAAGATTCATAACTTATTGGTTGTTCATTATATTAAGCTGAAAATTTGAGAATCAAATTTCATATTAGATGAAATAGCATACAGATGATCATCTTGCTAGCGTCAAGAACTCAGAAATATTAATATTCAAGCAAACAAATTGATCTTTCCAATAAAGATAATAGGCAACTTTTTTCAGATTATAAAGTTCTAATTATAATGACTGAGATCCGATGAGGAATACGACTTTTGTTTAGAAATGCTTATGTAAACTTTTATACCGAAGTTCTTTAACAGCATCGATTCGTGTAAGATTTGGTATTTCTTTAAATAAAAAAGAAATTTATATTAAGAAAGAAAATGAACGTATTTTTGAAATACCAATGCCATTAGTTTCATATTCATGTCGTTCAGTATTTATTGTCGTTTCAATTAATGCTTTACGTGATGCATATTGTGGTGTTTTTTGTCGTTGACCTATCTGATTTTTTAATTCAATTTGTTCAAGTTCATCTTGAAATCGTTGAAGATATCTGTCTAAATATCGGTATAGTAAAATGAACGAATAAAAAAAAATACCAAATAAT